CTGCCTTCCCTCTAGTCTTACACTGCTAAATTAGGGACGGCTAGCGCAGATATCCTTCGTGTAACCTTGCGCAAAATTTAAAACAAACAAACAAAATGATTCGGCTAAAAAACAAATGTTTGAACAAAGAAGAGGAAATGAGATTGAGAAAGAAAATGAAATGTGGTTAATGACAGAATGACACAACGCTTAATATATATTAACATATAGTTTTAACGTGGAAAGCGATTCATACAGAATCATGTAATTCTAAACCTTGGCAGCATCTATTGTAGAAAGTGAAGAAATATTAGAAGCAGTAAAATTTGTCTCAAATCTTTGAACTAGCTATTAGTTATTTCGTACAGTAATCGTTCAGAATAATTTTCATAGATAATACTATCTTCGAAATACCAGATGTTTCTAAAGTCACTTTCGTTGTTCAGGTGACTGTGCGTAGAAAAGCAATATGAAACTCAGTCTATGGACCAATTTGACCAAGCGGAAGACAAGGTACACGGTCGTGCACTGTGTTATGATGACAAAATGATCTTATGCGAACAATTTTGAAACATTCTCTTCAACGTGTACGTTGTCTTCCACTTGATCAACTGAGTCTACACACAGATTTTCACAACACTATGATCATCAGTTTCCCGAACGCAGTCTTCTAAACAGCGGAGGTGACTTGAAACAACCGGTGTACAAAAATACCAATCCAGTGGAGTCGAACGTTAACTACTTAACCTACCCGAGACGGTGCCTGTAGGGTCTTGAATGCTGAGCAGCCAGAGACTGTTGAGCCTCTCGTGTTTTTTCTAACGCTTCTTTGTAAGAAACCAAACTGTTAGCTCGAGCATTGGACTGTAGCGGCATTACCATCACCAACACAAAGGACACAGTTAGTACCATCAAAGCCTTCCCACACCATTTCCAAGGCTGCACCATGCTTTCCATCTTCTGAATGATATGTCAAACTGAGAGCAAACTTAGTTCTTTCCACGGATTACAAACAATCTACAACAAAAACGAACAAGAGTTCTTTCAGAACCGCAAAATCCATGCTTAACCATGGTACAGTAAAGGTTTATTTACTACAAACTTTTCTGAAATAAAATACTTATTTATTACTAACATTTCTCATTCAGCTCCCGGTTACAGGAAATATTGAAAATGTAACTTTTAATATTGTGTTAGCTATAACTTTAAAATTTCTCCGAGCAAAACCTTGGGTACTAAGTGTCAGATTGGAGTTAAATTTCACACCTGTAAAATAGACTTGTTAATCAGTTTAGTACCTTATAACAATAAAAAGTTGTCCGTAAATTTTACACTTAACGACTTGCGTTGCTCTACTTTAATTAAAAAGCCAAATTGAAAAATTTCAAAATTAAAATACAAGAAATTGCTTTCAGTTCAAACTCGTGATAAAGTGGGTTGATAATGTTTTAGTTTTGAAACATAAAATTAATTATTTTCAGTATAAGTTTATTACGCTAATAGGTTAATATTGCTTTAGTTTTAACATGCAAAATTAAACAGTGGCGTAATTTAGTAATGCGAAATACGATAAACAATCACTGGTAAAATATTTTATAAAACAGTTACGAATGAAATTACCCACCAGGTGGCGCTTCAGGATAAATGTTTAAAGATAGTAGCTTCAGTGGGAGGAAGTCTGTTGGTCATTCGTGTATCAATTTAGTACAGTTACATATCTGTAAAATCTTTGAAAAAATGCAATCAAAATACCTTAGTCATGGCCATCATTTCGTACCACACATCGTAAACTTCTAACGTTCGTAACCGCGAGTCATAAACACTGACAGAACCTACCTTTCAAAACTGGTAATTGCTTAGTTTAACATAAACATAACTTCATGCATTTAAATACGTGATAAGATCAAGAAAGCCCTTTCAGGGAAACAAATCTTCAATTAACAAGTTTAGCTTGTCGAAAAAAAATGAAAGACCTATTTTTTCAACTTGATTTACGATTGGACTATGCAAAAAAAAAAGGGCTACATATGTTGAAGTGAGGGTTTGGTTTCGTAGATGAAAGTTTTTCTTTGTTTCAGTTTTAAAATATGTTTTGAATTTTAGTTTTTCAGTGAACTAATAATAATACTCACATACATAAATATTCAGATATCAACAGTTTGATTCTCTATCTATATGTGCTAAACTCATTACTGCCTTTCAGTCTGTTGTATCTTTCGGAAAAAAAAAAGAGTTGTTAAAACGAGTGGAAAATATCAATTTTAGGTATAATATAAAAACTACAGTGAAAAGGTAAATAAATGTAAATGTATTAATGGCAAATACGTCCCAACTAACTGTTTTATCTCTCTGTATCACCTATTTTATATTTCCGTAATAACTGTTTTATTTCTCAGCATTAACTGTTTTATCACTCTGTATTAGCTTTTTATAACTCTGTATTAACTGTTTTATCTCTCTGTAATAACTTTTATCATTCTGTATTAACTATTTTATCACTCTGTATTAACTGTTTTATCACTTTATATTAACTTTTATAACTCTGTATTAACTGTTTTATCTCTCTGTAATAACTTTTATCATTCTGTATTAACTGTTTTATCTCTCTGTAATAACTTTTATCATTCTGTATTAACTATTTTATCACTCTGTATTAACTGTTTTATCACTCTATATTAATTTTTCATAACTCTATATTAACTGTTTTATCACTCTGTATCAATAGTTTTACCTCTCTGTCCTCCGACCTCCTAAACTACCATTCAACCAATGTGTAAATTCAGTGGTGTTTGGATACATACTACTAAAATTTTTAGTTGGTACTAAAATAGGTATATTAACATTACTATTAGTTCTAGTTTTTTTTTTCCATTTATCAGTTTTTTGGGACAATAAAATAGAACCTGTAAGTCATTTAAAGCTCTCTAAATATAAGACTGTTTTACAAATTAGATATTTGTATTACATTTACGATATCTACAGTACTATACATAATTAATTTTAGAATAAATAAACACTTTAAACCTTGAGAGGAAACAAAGGATTTAGAGGCACTGAAACCATGACTTCCGTTTGTACATAAAACACAAGAGGGGTGTCGCATTGCGTCAGGAATCTGTAACCCAAGTGTACCCATAACTTTGTTTTTCGGATATTCGCGCAAAGCTTTACAATGGCTTTCCGTGTTATCCGTCAGTAATTTTGAATTGTCAGATTAGAGAAAATGCACCTAGTCAAAAGCACCTACTGCCATCGCCAAATCTTGGCTTCTCTAATTGAATAGTGGGATGTGACTGTCACTCTTATAACGTACCCATGGCCTCAAAGTGCGAAGCGCGATTTTTTGAGCTAAGCACTAAGTTATACAGAGCATTACCCCATAAATTATTTTTTCATATCAAGAGTACTAATGAAATAACCAGCAAAGGTTTGTTTGTTTTGTAATTAAGCACAAAGCTACAGAATGGGCTATCTGTGCTCTGCCCACCACGGCTATCGAAACTCGGATTCTAGCATTGTAGAATAGACATACCGCTGTGCCACTGGGGGGGGGGCGACTAGCACAGGAGACCAAGCTTAAAACGTAGTGCTATAAATGGAGGAGTGGGTTGTCCCTTTCTACTATTTTGTATACAGCTCATGATACAAATTATAAAAAAGTTATGAGTGAAAATTAAAAAAAGAATGTATAATAATAATGATACGCGCGGCATTAATCATCACTAGTTTGGCATCAGCTCAACGTATTTTGCTACAGACATTCTTAGTCAGTTGAGCTCATATTTGCGACACTGAGGCAATAAACTTGAAATGATTCCCAAACTCCTATCGTTTGTCCGATTACTTATTCATTTAAAACAGAGCTTTGAGAAATTTGTTTGACTCTTCTAGGACCAAACTTTATAGAAACTGGTTCTTCCAATTCCTCACAACAACTTGTGACACCGACGGATTGATGTCCCTTCTTCATATTTATATATATATATATATTAGATATATTATTCTACTATCTTGGCAAAAACAGACTGTTTACACACTATATTACTTCGCTGGGTAAACATTTTTTAAGCAGAGTAAAAACCAGTTCTTCTGCTTATAAACAACACAGAGTTAACCACCAGTAGGTCGAAAGTCAAGGCTACTCCCCATAAAAAAAATTATCGGTTTGTTTTTAATGAAGCATTATTGAATAACCTCTGAACCAGTGTTCCCTCTAAGCTGCGCGGCCGCACAACAACTAATCAAGTGCCGCGCACTTTATTATTCCAGCCGCGCACATCCTCAGTAATGGTGAGGAGCCTCAACACGTTGACGGCCTTAATGAACCTGGCAGTCGATAGGCCTAAATCCCAAATAACCAACTAGTAGCATTGCAAAGCGGCCTAATTATCCAGTAGGGTCGATGGTCTAAAAATACCCCCCCACCCAAAAAAATAAACAAATTGGGCGCTATAATTTGACAGTCAATCACTCTAGTCGTTGGTAAAAGTAACCCAAGGGTTATCGGTGGGTACTCTTTACTATCTAGCCTCTCTTTAATCTATCACTTCTAAATTAAGGACGGCCACAGCAGATAGTCTTCGAGTAGCTTAGCTCGACATTCAATAAACAACAGGGCCGTACCGATGTTTGCGACATATAACTTCGGCGCCCTCCATCATAACTCATTAGTTCGCTTTGTTAGTCAATCGACGCCATCTTTCGATTTGGCGCCCTGTGCGACGCACCACTCGCACTATCCACAGTGCGACACTAATAAAAAAATAAACAAAAAGTGGTCTTCATACTAAATAAGATCTTTGTGTATCAGTAGGCGGGTAAACAATGTGCGATCACTAAATGCATATATATATTTGATCAGTTCAAAGTGTTGCTTCCCTTTATTAGTCCCTTAAATAATAACGCTTTACCAAATGAGTAGGGCGTTATACCCGGTAAGCACTTAAGTACAACCTTCAGCAGGAGGTTACTTAATATTAATAAGCCAATACTCTCACGTGAGGCATAGCATAAATGAAACGTCATAATACTAGAAATGTGACATCGCATTCTGTAATTGACTTAACAATACCCTGTATTCGCTAGATTATAGATGACTATATTCTGAAAATTTTGAAGTACATCGTTACATAGATGGCACTTGAAAATAAAATAGTTGCTCTCGATTAAGACGCGACTAAATTACAAGAATGATGTTCAGGGGCGGATTTGGTGCCTAAAACGGCCCGAGCAAATCCTCAAAAATCAGGATGATTTATATATATATATCAGTATAACCAGGTTATCCCCCCACTGGCCCAGGCGTCACCGGCCTACCGGGATTTTGCCCGGTGTGCCAATCCGCCCCTGATGATGTTTCAATGAAACCTTCCCACTCGACTTATGAATATTAAGTAACCTTCTGCTAGCGATTGGACTTCAATACTTACCGCAATATTCACAATTTATGGGAGTTATTTTTAAACTGTGACCTATGACTTTTACACATAATCCCTAATTATCTCTCCCACATTTCTAATCATTATGTAAAGGACCATTCATTAGTTGAACTGGCGGCGAAAAACAGTATCACGTGGACCACGGCAATAATGAAAACAAGCGCACTGAACAACAACAGCTGTCGTGCTACATTAGGCAAGAACAATGTATCCAAGTGTTACAAACGTATCAAAAACACGCAAACTAGTAGGATTAGGCTAGTTTCCGTACTGTTAGTCCTGAATTCCTATAAAAGAACTGTAATTATTATGTAAAGGAAATAAATGCAAACACCAGCTCTTTGAGAGACATTCTAATCTTGACAGAAAAGATTTTTATAATTTGTTTGCTTTACAGACATATCAAAGATTAAAAATGGACAAATTAACAGCAATATAGAAAACATCAACAACAACCAAAAACATCTGCTGTTTAAGAGATTTCTATCCCCATTTCTAGGCCTATTGGTTTATAATTCTTCGCCAACTTGCGGCGTTTAAACTATCACAAATATTTAGTCGTCAAGTTACTAATTTTTG